GAATTTACAATGTTATCCTTCATGTGATTATTGTGACTGCATACACTGCCTAGCGCAGATTATGGTAATGTTCTTCATTATGGACCAGTTTCCGTGAACAAGTTGAACGATGTTTTGTAAAGTTGTGGCAAACTAAAGACTTCTCGACAAATGCAGTTTAGTTTGATGGAAAAAGTGAAGCAGTGGTCAGAAAAGTGATCGTTCAGAAGAGTTAAATGACAGAACAACAGTCTGCACTTGCTGATAGATAAATTCTGGTCATGAAAAACGATATCTAATTGCCTAGATGACTGAAATCAATTTCAGGGTGCATCGCTACCATCAACCTTCTAGTAGATAACCTGAAAATAATTTTAAGCACCACAAGTGCAAAATAATAAATATTGTAATACAAAATGGAGGTGTAAACAGAAAACTAAGACGATTTAGTCTAAATCATATCATAATCAACTTGTAAATTAACCATTAAAAACTGTTATAAATAGAGCTGTCAGCAAAAGTGGTTAAAATAACTCTCCAGCCTCTGATCACATATTCAATTTCGATGCAGATTTAGCATATTTCTCGCTTAATTACTGCTCAATATTACTGTTATCAATCGAATTAGCCTTTTAGCACGTGAGATTAGATTACACTTCATGGAATTAGGATCATAACTGACATTTAAGGAATTTAAAAACTAACCTGAGGATACGGATCAAGACATAGGTGCATGAAAATCTTCTGAACATTTTCGATTTTGATCGATGTATAGTTCGTTTTATTAAAAACTCATTTGTAAGCTAGTTACCTAAGTTGTAGTTTAGAAAAAAGAACTAAAGTGAATGCCTATAAAATAATGTCTTATATAATAGTTAGTTGAGAGTGCCAGTTGCCAGGAAAAGATATTGCAAGTCATAGTTTGGGAAGCCTTAACAAATTTCCGTTATATCTCACCAGTTCATTGTTTAATTTACTTGGTTGTGGCTAGCAAAGAAATCAAGAACGCACGTTTCATCCTATATGGGACTTGTCAGTTGGATGCACCTGAATCCTAGTGAGTGATGTTGTTCCCACTGAGACTCGAACCTCGTATCCATCGCTTCAAACGCCAAGGCGTTTTCCACTGGGCTACTGGGGCACGATAGCCGCCTCTTGTACAACGGGTATTAGTTATTACTATTTGCTGATATGCTTGTAGTTCTCCGTTGTTTTACTGGATCGAATTTTTTAATGTCTCATTCATACTAATGAATTCAAAACCTTAGCTGGAGGTGTTAGCTACAGTTGTAAACCCAATATGAAGAATGATTTTCAAGTAAATATAAAGGATTGTCAATTTTTACGAAAGCATTACAAACTCTGTCCAGGAGGCTGATGAAGATAATACGCTCCAAACATCACCTAGTGGAAAATCGCTTTACAACAATCGGGTCTGTGAAACTGTTGAAACTTGTCCATTTGTACTGTTTCGTCAAATGTTTAGGATATTCATTCACTGTAATATGATTACGTCACGTAGTAACTTACTAGAAATACTTCACTGCACGAATGAGATATTTTAGTATGAGAATTTGCAAATGCAGTTTTTATTCCTGTACGTTTCAGAGACGTGGTACAATGACCACTGGTCGACTAGCAGTGAAGATATGAATGGTTCGTTGGGTGGTTATGAATCACTCACTACTGACTCTGTCCCTTAGGACACAGAAATATGTTATAAACCAACAAACTGACAGGGATTTTTCTATTTATGCATATCCAAGAGAAGCTTAAATACCCATCTACGCGATAATCTAGAAAAAATTACTTTTCTTCAGTTAAACAGCAGTCACAGAAACAATATTCATTTAGTGTAATCATACACAACGCATTGCTATGTACATAACAACCGATAGGAAGGACGAATTCTACATGTAGCTTAAGTTTGAATTCACTCAAATCTGACAAGTAATTCTCTTTGAACTGTCATAACTGTTGTTCGAATAAGACTGCACTTTATTTTTGAAAGACAAAGTACACATATTTTCCTTCCATGTCAACCGGTCTCTATGTACGTTGCGAAGCAAATGTCAACACATGACTGAGCAAGGGCATATTTTCAATTTCTGTAGATAGTAATATTCAGACAGACAACAACTGTTGTTTAATGACTCATTGTGATAGATATTTCAAACTCTTCATGAAAACACTGAAAATATAGACATTAGAGAAATTACCAAAGTGTGTTGAAACTTAATGCTCGGAATTTTAAAGGAGGTAAGCCTAATTACATTTAAATAGAAAGCTTTATGTATAGTAATATCTAGCTTGTGATTCCAGATGCACACAATTCATCCTACCTATGCTTTTTAAG